CACGCGACATCAGCACGCCTCGGCTGCACACTCACAGCGCCCGCCGACTGCATTTGCAACCGCCGGTGGACCAAACGTGGCAGCGAAAACGAAACCGAAAGCAAAAAAACAAAACCGAAACTGAAACTGAAAGCGAAACCGAACTCGGAAATTGCCAGTAAATAGACGACGACTGAGTGTGTGCCGGATGACCGAGTGTGCTGGGAGGAGGGAGGAGGGAGGAGGGAAGAGGTGAATGGGAAAAGACAGAGCGGTGGTGCAGCGGTGGCCATTTGTGTCGGCGTGTGGAGCGGAGGGTGGCGGACGGACGGACGTACGGACGGACGGAGGCGGCGGGCCGAGGCGCGACAGCATCGCCGGCGCTCGCGCTTCACGTTGCAAACACGATTGCCTTCGACGGTGCGCCTCGCTTGGCCTCGGCATGCTGACAAATGCGCCGTGGCCGCTTGCAACCGACGTCCAACCGACAAAAAGCCAGACGGCCAGCAAGGCAAGCAATTGGCTCAACATACCAACATGGCAACGGACAACAAGATAGCCAGACAAGCACACAGACAGGCGACAATCATTCAATCATTCAATCATTCAATCATTCAATCATTCGCATCTCCTCTGATTCATTCAAGGACGCTTTTTCATTCGTCCACTCTCCCAATGCCCTCTCAACCTCTCCCTCTGACTCGCTATGATTCATGCTGCTTCTCAATCCTTCATTCATTCACATCCATCTCTCTTTCTCTCTCTCTCTCTCTCACGAGCCCAGCTCTACTCAAGCCTGTTCTGTCGCCTCGTAGACACGTCGGCTCGTCATGCTCCCAAAGTTGCGCCATCCCCGTCCAGAGGGCACACCTTTGTCTCTCGTCTGTGCGTGTTCATGTGCCCCAGTGGTGGGCGGCGGGCGGTGCTGGTTCGTTGAGACAAGGGATGCGCCGAACAGGCCACTCTGGTTGCCGGGGGAGGCAGGCTTCGATTGCCGCGTCAAAAGATGCTGCCACTGCTTCACCCGACCTATACACACACA